TCACTACAGGCTACTGCTTGGTTTTGGAGAGAAGAGCCTAGCTTTGGAATAAGGCAGTCGTGGGGTCAAGTCCCAGCTATGCCACTTGAAAACTGGCTTTTGGGCTGGTTCCGCAAAGTATCGCTGAGGCTCAACTTCCACATCTGTAACGTGGAGATAAAAAACACCAACTCTACAGGGATTTTTAGGTATAATTTGTGTTGTGTAATTAGCATTTTGTAGCCTCAGGATTGTGTTTGAGGCAAACTTGCTGCATCCATCTCAAAGTGTTCTTTGTTTGAAGGCGGCATACACCCCAAGTGACGGGGAGACTTTGAAACTGAGCATAGCTACCTGACAGCTCTTTTTTTTTGTTGTTAATTGAGGTATAATTGACCTATAATATAACATTACATTTCAGGTGCACAACATAATAATTCAACATCTGTATATGTCTCAGAATGTCACTACAATAAATCTAGTTAACATCCACCACATTTATTTATTTTTTCTCGTGATGAGGATTTTCAGGATCTGTCCTGTCAGTAACCTTCCAATACACAGCACAGTGTTCTCAACGGTAGTCGCCGTGCTGAGAGCTCTTCCTCTCATCCTGGGCAGGGAACATGATCAAGCTCCTCGAACAAAAACAGACGCTGTTAGTTCACTGGGCTGAAGTTGCCAATCCCTGACTGTTCTTGATATAAATAGTCATTTCATGAGTCAAACAAAAAGTCTGCCTCATTTATGTGAAAGGTGACAAAGATCCAATGAGAGAATGCACGAGGGCTTTGCAAATACATAAGGCCATTGCTACCACTGCTATTATTTCTATTACGATTGTTTATTATTGGCTCCACACTTGCTAGAGACAGGCATGCCTTCAGCGGACCAACAGCAGTAAAACTAAACCAGGTCTCGGTGGTCGGAAAGGAACGGGCTGGGGGGCTGACCAGGCCAGCAGCTGGCCGCTCCCTCCGGCCTTAGAGTGTCCAGAGCGCTGCCCCCGGGGCCCACTGCTTCTCGCTCTTCTAGGCCCATCCTTTAAACCCTGGCCCACACTACGCACAGTTCCCGGCACCGTGGGCACCCCCGTACACCCGTGAAGTGGGTGCAGGGACAAGTGAGTGAAAGCAGGGCCAGCCCCGGGAAACCCCCAGGGGCGTTTCTGTACAGGCGACCTCAGACGAACCCCAGCGTCCAGGACGCAGCCTCGAGTGGGAACGTTTGAGTTGCCAAAGGGTGGCATGGAGGGGGGCTGTGGGGGGCAGGAGGCAGCCACAGCCGCACTGCTCTTCTGCTTGGTCGCGTGGGACAGGACGGGGCGGTGAGATAATTAACCGGCCGCACTGCGTAGCGGTGCCCGGCAGAGGCAGGTCCCTCCTCCACTTCCCTGTCCCACCTGGCCTTTGGGGCCATCACTCTGCTAATGTAGCCACTGCTAGGTTCCCACCTTGAGGGACAGCCACCCATGCCTCAGGCGCCGCCCTGGTGTGGGGAGAGGCCCCCGGGCCTGCGTGGACTCCCCAGTGGGCCGGAGGACCCTGGCTCCACTGGGGCTGCATCTGAGGCCCCGCTGACAAACCGGGTGTTTAGGAATCGGCCTCTTACTGAGACCAGTTACTCACAGCTGTGGGTGTTGAAAGCGGGGGCGATGACTCAGGGGGTGCAGGTGATGGCTTGGGGCTTTCCTTGGAGCACAGCATAGCTTCGTGAGTCCCTCATGACCCGGGGCCTGCCCCTCCAGAGTTACGCAGGCTGGGAGGCTGAGTCACCTCCCGTGGGGCTTGGAGACGCTGTGTTTAAACAAAGGGCAGGCTGTCAATCTGATGACTAGAAGGCTCCCTGCCCAGCTCAGGGCCCTGCTGCTAAAGTATTGATCAGAGAAGGCCTTGCAAAATCAGTGATCATGAGAATTTAGTTTGGGGGGGGTCTTCTCAAGGCTGTGGTGAGGTCTGGGGTCTCCCTGTGGTTGAGCATGTCACTCTGGCAGCGGGAATGTCATCGTCTCCCTGCAGAGAGCACAGAGAAAGGCTGCCCACCTGTCTTTTCTTTTTTTCTTTTTTTTAAAATCTTTATTGATTTCAGAGAGGAAAGGAGAGGGAGAGAGAGAGATAGAAGCATCAATGATGAGAGAGTCATTCATCAAGCCCACAACCGGGCATGTGCCCTGACTGGGAATCAAACAGTGATCGCCTGGATCCTAGGCCGACGCTCAAGCGCTGAGCCACGCCCGGCCGGGCCCACCTGTCTTTTCACTCTCAGAGTTTTACATCCCCAGGTGACAATTCTTCCTGTTCCCACTCTCCTTCCACGTGGGACACAGTGAGACAGGCTCCTGCAGCTATGTGGCCACGATGGTCTCCAGGGTTTCTGTGGCTGGAGTTTGGAGTGAATGGCAAGTGACGCACGTGCTCTCGACTTAGCCCCACAGATACTCGATCGCCCCTGTGCACAGCCTTTGCTGGATAAACTCTCAGCTTATGTCTGTGTTCCTGGGAGGAACCCCCACTGGTCCCCATTCACACCACCAGGCATTGCTGTGTGTGAGGGGGAGAGGGCAACGGAGGCCTTGAGAGCCTCCAGCGAAGGGTCATCACTGTGGGGGTGCTGCTGGCTTTCCAGTCCTTTCGCCTCAGGTGCTCTGTGCTCCCCTCCCACGGCTGCAGTCGCAGCTCCCACCAGGCGGCATTTGTGGTTCCCATCCCCGCTCGTCCCTGTGGGTAGATCCATGCTTCTCACCCCTTCCTGCCCCTCAGCCCCTCTCGAGGGAGAGGACACAGCCGTCAGCAGCAGCAGCTCACCCGGGGTTTCCATCCCCTCCGCCCTCCGACTCTCCTCTCTGTTAAAAGCCACTGGACTAGAATGAAGTCAGGGACCAGCTCCTCTTTATCCCAAGCACCTAACGTGTGGCCAGACAGCACTGAGTGTGGAAGAGAGCGCGGGGCCAGCCCCAGGCAGTGCCCGGGCTGGGGTGCCAGTGTTCAATGACCCCAATGTTTCCACTTCCTCTCTCCATGATATTCAGGACTGAGTTTTTTAAATTGCGCAAATATTAGGTGGGTATTCTTACTATAAAGGAGTCAAGCAATAGTGTCCACCAATTAAAAATATTTTATATAGTGACATTCTATTCAACATTTAGCATTGATAAAATTTTAAAACTGCAAAACCCCATCTCAGAGTCACCATTTAGCTCCAGCACCTAGAATTGTTCATTTGCATCCCAGCCGCTGTGACCCGCTTTTGGGACTTGTCAGGGTGCGTCTTCTGGCTCAGACAGAGAAAATTGAGACAACACTCGATAATGAGACAGTAAAAATGCTATTTGTGTTACAATGAATTTAAAAAAAAACACACATTTATTCTTCACTGAAAAATTTAAAAATTTCCCTTTAGGCTTTGAACTCATTTAAGCCAAAACGGCTCGTTGCTGAGTGAAGAGCCTCTCCGGCGGAGCGGCGGTGGGCAGTCCGCGACTGGGAGGAGCGGGCTCTCCTTGCTCCGCGGCCGCATNCGGCGGAGCGGCGGTGGGCAGTCCCGCGACTCGGAGGAGCGGGCTCTCCTTGCTCCGCGGCCGCATTTCCATCGCTGCGGAGCCGGCTTCTCTGCTTTGCTGCCGTGGGCACTTTCAGTTACTTTGTATCTGAGACGATANGAGGAGCGGGCTCTCCTTGCTCCGCGGCCGCATTTCCATCGCTGCGGAGCCGGCTTCTCTGGGCACTTTCAGTTATTTTGTATCTGAGACGATCGGACCCTGTGGTTTTCTCCAGAAACACAGAATGTTTCCCCAGTGATTGGTTTTGTTAAGAACACTTTGTTTCCTATAATGACCTGGCAGAGGAAACACAGTATCATTCCTTTCTTTCTGACACTTCTGAGGCGCTGCTTTTACATCTGCCTCATCCTTAGATTCTCCGGCCGGCCCGCCTGGGAGGAGAGGAGGAGTGGCAGCCTTTTCATTCTAATTAATTCCACAGACTATATGGGATGCCTCCCGCGTGCCAGGCGCCGCCTTATACACGGAGGCTTCCAAGAGGAGCAGGAGAAGCTCCACGCCTCAGAAGCTGCCGAGAGGAGACGGCAGGACACTGCTCACGGCCGTTCTGTGTGGCGGGCGCCACAGTACAGGTGGCAGGCGGGGTGGGGCGCGGGCGACCGCTGGCCGCCTCCGGAGGTCAGGGAGGGCGTTTAGAGGAGATGAGCCTTGAGGTGCCTCGGGGAGGAGGGATTAGTTCACCAGGAACAGGGGAAAGGACATGCTGGGCAGGAGGAACCACATGGACAGGCATAGGGATGTGAAATACGTGGTGGGTTGGGGAGTGATGAGTTGTGTATTAGGCTGGGAATGGAGGCCGAGGCCAGGGGATGGGCTCAGACCCGCAGAACCCACAGTATTTTCCTCCTGGAATGTATTCCTGGTGACCGGTGTACCTTCTTATCACGTGGTGGGATGAGCTGTGGACAAAATTAAATGTTGACGGGGGTTGATGGAGTAATTATAAAGGGATCTGTGTGATGATAGTCAAAATATAAAATGAAATAAGATTGAAAAAATAAAAGGATGCATCCTAAAAATCCTCAGCATCTGCTTGTCACTGGAAATAGGATTGTTGAAAAGAGATGGACCAAGCTAGCTCTTGACCGATGACATTTTCACCTTGTTCCCCAGGCTGCCTGCGCTAACTTGGGGACCATGAGGGCCTGGGCACTGTGGCTGCTTCCCCTGCTCTGCGAACTCGGCCTGGCAGGTAGGTTGGCTGTGCTGTGTGCGGACTGTGCGATTCTCATCGCCTTCTCTGGACAGGAATTGTTCATTGAAAGCAGAGGGTACCTGGGTCATGGGCACATGCGAATGGGCAGCTGGGGTTTGTGGGCTCCCTGAATTTGTGTTGGTATATGCGCACGTTGATATATATTTATGCATGTGCAGCTTGGCCTGTTGTATTTTCAAAGGGAGATATGACCCCGCAAAAAAGGTCCACTGTCTTAGAGTAACTATAAGTGCTTATTTCAATAGTGTTTAAATGTAGTGGTTTTATATAAAACACATATAAAAACAAAAATATGTAATTTTCACACTATTTTCATTAAATTCCAAGAATATAAAAAGAAGTGACAGAAAACAAAACAAAACTTGTTTCCACAGTGGTCCAATCAGGACGATGGGCCTTATACTCATACTGTACCTTGCAGATCGAAGGCTCATTTGATCACGTCTTACATTGAAGATCAGAGGGGCGCAGGTGGGAGCGGGGCACTGGAAAGGTGGAAACACATCATAGAGTGCGCTGGGGCTGCCAAAGCAAAACACCCAGGCCGGGCGGCTTGAACAACAGACATGTATGTCCTCACAGTTCTGGAGGCTGGAAGTCCAAGTTCGAGGTGCCTGTAAGGTTGGCTTCCTCCGACATCTGTCCCCTTAGCTCACAGATGACCCTTGTCCTGCCGCTTCTTCACCTGGTCGTCCCTCTGTGTGTCCTGGTCCCCTCTTCTCATAAGGACACCAGTCTAATGGGTCAGGGCCGCCCAAGGGCCTCATTTAACTAATTCCTCCTTAGAGGCCCTATCTCCGTATCCAGCCTCCTGAGGTGCGGGGGGGCTTAGAGCTGTTAGGCCGTAATGAGCCCAGTGTAAGACCAAGGATGCCCTGGGGAGACGGGAGGGCCCCTTGCTTTTCATTCGCCGGCAAAGGACCAACTTTGAAATCCTGCTAAGAGTCCGTGTAATGAGTGTTAAACGCATGTAATGAGGGGGCGGGCTGACCTCAATGAATATTTGTAAAACATTGGACAAAGGACTAAAGACAGAGCCACATGTGTATACGCACATGCACACACATGCACATGCACACACATGCACACACACGCACACCTGCATGCACACACTTGCATACATGCATACATGCACATGCACACACACTGCCACCATCTCTGAGCCGTGGGGACAGGGAGTGTGTCGGTTGGTGTGGAAGTCATTCCTCAGAGGACGTTGCTGGCTGACCCTCGGTTCACCCACTTGCGGGATTTTGCACATTTCCACTGGAGTTGTGAGGTGTGGGATCTGTTAGTGTTCTGTTTGCGGGTCGCTGGGCTCCCAGGGAAGGTTTCAGGCTGTGGGCTCCCAGAACAAGGCGTGCCTGGTCTAGCCTCTGATCTCCATGTAACATGAGGTGCTGTTTGGTTCCAGCCACGCTGACTTTGGTCTTGTCAAGCCTCTGGACCTGGGATCAGTAGGGGAATAGTGACGATGGGGGCAGCTGGCTTTGCCGGGACTTTGGTGCATCCATCACTGGCAACCACTCCTGAAGCCCATGCCCCAGTGTTGGCCTGTGGTCCTGGAGTCCCCTGTGCCCAGAATCCCAGGCCTAGACTAGCCCCACACCCACCTCCTCCCATACCCATCTGAGACACAGGCGAGTTCTGGGTCCCTCAGGCTACACGCGCCCGTGTGGAGCTGAGCTGAGGAGCTGCCCCAGCCCGCCCTCTGCCAGGGCAGCTGGGACTTGCCTGCGCGCGGGAGGTGGTGGGACATGCGGCTTCCTCTAGACTGTAGGCCCGCAGCCGTCCCAGGCTGCACCTGGAGGAACAGGCCGCCAGCCCAGCTGACCTGGGCTCACCAGCCCCACCTGCATGGGGCTGCTCCCCCAAGAACACCGACGCCTGAGCTCTGTGCCACCCTCACTTCCTTACCCGATGCCCCAGTACCTGACCTGCTGGAAGTGACGGGCTCTCTCCTCCTCCTGGCGGGGATGCCCCTCCTAGAAACACTAGAGCTTGGCTTTGAGAGTGAAGGTAACTCCAGAAGTCGCCTCCTCTCTCAAAGGCGCCTGCTTCTTAAGGCTGGTCTTACCAAGCTCCAAAGGAAGTCAGTCTGAGCCTCGGAACTGAATGCTAACCTTAGCGTAAAACTGCCCTTAGTTCTTACCTTTGGGCACGGGTAAGATGAACCCCGCGGTCACCTGTGAAGTCCACGGCCGCTTTTGGAAGTAATAGCTGTAAATACATAAATAAGATACACAGGATTATAAAGGAGCCCAAATATTCTGAAATGACGTTATCAAAAAATTAAACAAATTTGTGACATAGTAATAGAGGTGTTTCTTTATTAACGCATTAAATAAGAAGACCTAATAATTACATTACTTCAGTGATAGTGAAGGTACCTATAACAACTGACACATAATATGAAAATAACTGACTTTTTAAAAAATTTATCCTTATTGTTGAAAGTATTACAAATGTCTCTCTTTTTCCCTCGTTGATCCCCTCCACCCTATAGCCCCCAGGCCTTCACCACACTATTGTCTGTGTCCACGGGTTATGCATTTATGCACATAAGTTCTTTGGTTAATCTCTCCCTACCTCCTGCCCTCTAAGGTTTGTCAGTCTGACTTTTAATGGCAACAAAGTCACAAGNCTCCTGCCCTCTAAGGTTTGTCAGTCTGACTTTTAATGGTAACAAAGTCACAAGTAACGACGTGACTGTAACTGTTGACCCCATTCATGATGGGAGGAAACTGCAAATTTCAACAATAGGTCAATGAAAAATGGGACGAAAGTCTCCGCCTCCAAGTTCCTACACCCTGGACTCCGCCTCTGGACTTGCGCAGGGTTAGACCCGTTCTCACGGTGGCATCTGCTCCCCCCGGGAAGGGATGGTGTCACTGGGCTGGGGGCTACCAGGAGCAAGAGTTGTAAGATCTGAACACAGGGCTGGAGACATCTCAGAAACGTCCTGTTGTGCCACCTTCCGGGGAGGTTATTGATATGTAAGGGGAAGCGCGGGCCTAGCTCAGCACCCCGTCTCCCGCTGCCCTGTTACCCCGATGGTTCTAGCTTTCGATGCTTTACTTTGCCTGGTATTTAAATATAATTTTTGATCCTCAAATGTTGCGCTTGAGTAAGAATGTAAAAAGCATGTTTTAGAAGCAGAAATCTGGCCCTTCGAAGGGGGTAATTGGGGAGATGGAGGTGGGTTCTCGCGGCCTGCCTGGGAGAACCTGCCATGCCAGCCACTGCCCGCCCCGGGCAGCCGTTCCCATCGCGCCGCTCGGTGCTGCCCGGGTTGGCCGTGTACTGAATGACTGTGTGTGTTAGTCCTGCCAGCTAAGCCCGAGAACATCTCTTGCATCTTATACTACAAGAAAAACTTCACTTGCACCTGGAGTCCCGAGAAGGAGGCCAGTTACACGCGGTACACGGTGAGGCGGACCCAGTAAGTGTGGGCCGGCGCTGGCGGGGTGGGGGCGGAGCTCGGGAAGGAATGTGTCCTCGCTGGCAGCTCTGGGGACCGCCGTGCATCCAGGGCCGCAGGATCGGAAACTACGGGGCGGGGGAGGCGTGGCTGCCGCCCGGGCATACGCTCAGGGGACAAATCTATTTGCTATAGCCAACCGCCCCCCTCCTCTTTCTAGAATGTTATAAAACATGGGGCCGGGGATAGCAAGGGGGTGCCAGGTCTGCCGTGAGCTCACTGTGTGACCCGTCCTGAGAAATCCACCGGTACCAGTTCCAAGGTTTCCTGACCTCAAGCTCCCCTTTTTACTCAACGTCTGTTAGAATAAAAATTATAAAATTGTTATTATAATTCCAGCCAGAAGCCAGGGGCTTCAGCGAGTGTGTACAGGTAGGAGGTTTTTTCTGAAATTTGGAAAATAGCCCATGCGCCCCACTGTGTCCTTCGCGTTGCCCGGGAGCCGGGAGGCCGACCCGGGGACTATCACAGGTGACCTTCCCCTATTTCCCGTCTCAGCAAGGGAGTCCAAAGTCCCAAGTTTCTGTTTTGTTTGGCTTTTAAATGCAAGATCTCGTGTAGACTCCTGTGTTTTCACTCCTGGAGCTGGCCACGGGCGTGGTGAGGGAGGTCCACTCACGTTTTACGGCAGAGGGGGGCAGGCAGTGTTCTCTGCGCCCCGACATGTCAGCAGGTACCCCGGAGGGAGGGCTCAGCAGGGCGTCTCTGGGAGGCTGGAGAGTAAGTACTTTAGGCTTAGAGGGAGATGGTTTCCGTCAGACCCTCACGAAACACGATTCCACAGCAGGGGAGCCGTGTAGACAATAGTGAACCTTCTTCGTATTTGTTTCCTGACCGCTTAATGTAAGACCTGCTCTTAGCCCGTGGCCCCTGCAGGAGCAGGGAGCGGCTGTGCCCCACCTGCAGGCTGTGGCCTGCCGACCCCCGACCCAGGCCCAATAACCCACGGTCCACAGGCCTTGCCGCCTCCCGCGCTCGCTGGTCCTCCGTCCCAGGGTGAACCGAAAGTGGCAGAAGAGGGCAGGTGCGGAAACCGCGTCAGGTTTCTCCCACTTTTCTGGAAGGCTCTCCTTGTGGGCGGTCAGCTCTGAGAGCGGGTCAGTGGTAGGGACAAACCCTCCTGATGCCCAGGACAGTGGGGACTGACTCCTCCTGGGGGAAGGGGAGCAGCGGGGACGCCCCTGGGGGTAGCGGCTGTGATGGGCCGAGCAGGAGCTTCGGAGGAGGGGGGGAGCGTGCTGCTCACAGGTGACACCCTGAGTAAGAGCCCCGGCGTCGGCCATGGCGCCGGCACGAGGGGCAGACACGTCCCAGCATCTCACGCTTGGGCCAGGTGCCCGCCAGCTCGCTGCGCCCTCGCGACCGCCCGGGCTGCAGCTACGGCACTGGGCCCGTGTTAGAGATGAGAAGGCAGGCGCAGCGGGCTACGGAGCCGACCCAGGCCCGGGTCGCGCGGGCAGGGCCGGGACTCAGACCCACGGTGCGTCCAGAGCCCGCGCTCGTCACACGACGCAGCCAGGCCCCGGGGGCCATTCCTGCGCTGCCCACGGCCACAGAAAGCCCCGCGCTCTCTCCACTTCCACGTCTCCGTGACTCTGCAGCCCACGCCCTGCTCCCCGGCCCCGCCCTGCACGCATGGCCCCTGGGCCGTGGCCACCTCCGCCCCCGCGTGACCCCAAAGCCACGCGACTATAGCCCCCTCCCCTGCCTGGGTCCTGCCCGTAGGTGTGCTTGTCATGACGTTACAGCAGGGGTAGGGTTAAATGATCTAGGAAAACAGTTTTAATGAGTTTTCTGAAAACACCATATACCAAAGGTAAAAATTTCAACCTGAAAAATATAAAGAATGTTAAAAATCACCCAAAATCCCCTCACCAAAGGTAACATTTCGATGAAGTCCTTTCCAGATACCTCTAAGAACAGTTATGTAAATACATAAGTTCATATAAACGTGATTTTTCTGTCCATAATATGCATCCTTCTCATTTTCACCAATAACAGAGTATGGGCATCTTTCCCTGATAGTAAGTACAGATGTGTTAAACACTATCATTTTAAATTTTACTTATGTATACACCATGATTTATTTAACAATCCTCTCTGATTTTTTTTTCTATTAAAAATAAGTCCTCAAGGTTAGAATCGGGGAATCTAGGGGCCTATTCATTCCTTGTTACCAGTAGAAAACACATTATTACAAGTGTAGCTTTGGGTGGACGTGTGGGGCTCCGGGGAGGCTCCGTGGTTTACGGCATCTCAGGCCGGACGCGGTGGACTTGGACCTCTGTGGCGCTGCGGAGGGAGTTTGGAGAGAGGGCGGGAAACGAAGGCTGGTCTGGGCCGTTCTCAACGGAAACCCAGCCGGAGCCTGGCGAGCACAGTCTAATACGTCACGTGCGGCTTGGTCCCCAAGCTGCGGAACCACACTCACATGGAGTCACTTTTCCTTCAAAGCAATTACGGAAGTGAAAACGACACTTGCAATTCTACAAGTGAGAACCGTGCTTCCTGCTCCTTCCTGCCTCCTGCAATAACCTTGCCAGACAACTACACCATCCAAGTGGAAGCTCGAAATGCCCACGGCACGGTGGAGTCCGACGTGACACAGTGGCACTTAGACACCATAGGTGAGTGCAGCTGGACGTCTTGTAGACTCTTTTCTTAAAAGATGCCCCGCCTTTTAAAAGAGGTACCTGTGGGCTTGAAAGTAGACTCAAAGATCAAGGATGTGCTAGATGCATGTTACAGAGAAACATAAAATGTGCTGTCTTATCAAAGAAGGAGAGGGAGGGAGGGAGGGAGGGA